AGAGAGAGAGAGAGAGAGAGAGAGAGAGAGAGAGAGAGAGAGAGAGGGAGAGAGAGAAAGTAGAAAGAAAAATATTAGAATTACAACAAAAAAAAAAAACAAAATGTTATGTTATATTTTTTATTTGTAATATTAAACATAGATATTTGAATTAATAATAATGTTTTTTATAAATTTATTTTTAATTTTATATAAAGCAAAATTTTTATTTAAAATCAAATTTTTTGTTAAAATTATATTTATTACAATTACATTTAAGATTATATTTTTCTTAAGAATATAATTTTACAAATTACGTAATAAAATTTATAAAATTTATTAATTTTTCTAATTTATTTTGATTTTCTATTAATACAATAAAATTGTTAACCAATAAAAAAGATTTGATTAATAAAAACTTTATTGATTTTTTAAGAATATTCCAGATTTATAAATATTTATAAAATATTTTAAAATTAATCATTCATATTTCAATATTTATATTTTATAGCATCGAAATATTTATAGCATCACATGAAATTTTATTTCACATATCTATGCAAAGAATTTAATCTCTTTTATATTTTAAACATATATAGAAATATGAAATTCCGATATAAGAAAAGTAACATATGTAATACATAAATAAAAAATTAAAAATTATAAAATTAAAAAATTAAAAAATTAAAATATTAAAAATTTTGTATAACAATTCTGTGTTACGTATCGTAAATTCTTAAAATTTCTATTTAATAAATTTCGTTAAGAGTTAGAAATTTATCTTCTTTTATTTTTATCTTATGGGATGCAAATTGGACGAAAAATTGAATGTGACTTACGTGAATTTCTTTTTTGCCAGAGCCCATCTCATCGGTGCTGATATGTCTGTAGCATAAACTTTTTCAAAAAGGTGAGCTACATGAGCAGTGGTGGCACCGTCGCCTGCCCCTAAATCCACCAACGAATGCCATGGTCCTAAAAAGCCGCTTGCCACCATCAATTTTTGAAATTGTTCGCAAGAAAAGACATGCATGGAACCACGGCCGAGTAATCTGAAAAAATTATTTTATTACATGGAAACGAAAATTAAAATATTAATTTCAATATCGATGAAATAATATTTAATATGATATTATCAAAAATTGGTAATATGATCTAGTGATAATATAATAATAAAAAATACAAGAAAATTATAGAAGAAAATAATTTTTTCTAGATTATTCTAATTTTTTTACAGAAAAATATATATATTTTTTATTATATTTTAAAAAATTATTAAATATAATTATAAAAATTAAAAACATGCTTTGAACATAAAAAAAATTAAATTAGATAATAAATGTAAATATCGAATAAATTCTAAAATGAAAAAGCGCATTTACAGATAAAAATTTTTCTATTTTCCATTTTATGTCAAATTATAAAATTTATCCATTGATTCGCTACATCGTTTGATTTTTAAATATTTGAATTTTAAATGTATAAATCATAAGATAAATGTCAAAAATTAATGGCATGAGGAGATCGTCCAAAGTTTGATACGAATAAATCAATGCAACAGTAACGCATATTTCAATATCTCATTGTAAGGATTGTAGCTTCCATGATCAATGAAAGGCAGCTGCATATAGAAATCAAAAGATTCGGCACGGTTTAGTCTGCAGAATTCGATAATTCCGTATCGGAAGGAATCTTCTGGCAAGTCTTAACAGTAGATAGCTGACGAGGAAAAAGGGCGAGTTCACATGAAAATATCAGCATTGCTACAACACGATGCATGGGCCGTGGCGATCCATCAATGCCGCGGAACGCGGGAGTTGGATAGTGAATTCGGTTACCTCCAATGTTATAAATAAGGCAATGGTGATCTTGTGAACTCCTTTCGTGAGCCCATCTCGATTTTTCTCCTTCTCTACCGCTCTCTGTGCTCGAGCGTAGCCGGTACCATCAATTAACGAGCACCTCCTGGTTTCTATTGAATAATAAATAAAAATAAAAAAAGAGGATAAAGTAGGAGAAGGAGAAAGAGAAGAAGATACAGCAGACAAAAAGAATTGCAGAAGAAGAAAATAAAGGAATGAATGAAAAAAAGATATGAAGACTCGATCACTGTATTTTTCATAGTATCTTTGTTTTTTTACTTTATTCTTTATTCCTTCCACGGATTCATTTACGGTTCTCTCTTTTTTTCTATATTTTCTTATTCATCTCTTTTCATTATTGTCTTCTATTTTCTCATTTCTTTATCTCTCTTATATCTCTCTTTATCTCTCTGATCCGTTTACTTTGTAATATCTTTAAACTTGTTTCTATTGTCAGTCTTAACCACCATGATCATACATAACCTGTACACAGATCTCCTTATTGTACGCCGGAGACGATCAACCAGTGAAGAATAAAAGAAATGGAAAGGGAAGAACGCGTACGAAGGAGAAAACGAAAGAAAGAAAAAAATAGGGGGAAGAGAGGAAAAGAACGGATAGATACACATACGATATACACGCGTGCAGCTCACAAATCAAGCTGCGGATCGTAGCGGCTTCGTCGGCGGCACGAGCGACAATTAATTCACCGCTTTTGTTCTCAGCTCCTCTTCTTGGACCCTATTGTGTGTACATAGTCTCTTCCCTTCTCCTCGCGTCACGATGTTTCTCCCAATAGAGAATCGTTTGGGACCTATTGATGCTTCCAACATCGTCCTGTTTTATCGAGCGATTCCGATTCTTCTCTCTTCGTCCTTTTTGTTTTTCACTTCGTCGTCGGAGGCTCCCTACCTTTGAAAGCTGCGTCTTTAATTTCAATCTTGGCGTCACGCGGTCTAGAGAAGTCCAATGCGTATTACACAGCCAGGTTTAAAAAACTGATCTATCGAAGATCTTTTTACTTATTACGTCGATTTTAAATCGGATCGTTATTTATTTTGATTATATAATTTTTATCATTTAATTATATTATAGATAATATATTTTATTATTTTTAAATAATTAAAAAAATTAAAAAATTAAGATCTGTGTTAATTTTTTGATATTACATACTGACAAAATTCAAATTTTTTTTAATGAAATATTTACAATTCTTTTTTTATCAAATTTTAAAATTTCTATATTATTTTTTATATTTATACATATTCATAATCTGTATTGTGAATATGATTTTTATGTTACAATTTTTAATGTTATAATTTAATATTAGCTTAATTATTTGTTTGTATTTTCAATGTAAATAATTTAAATTTCAATCAATTTAATCAATAAATATCAATTATAGTATTATAGCATATTATATATAATAAATTCTAGTAGTATAATACTAAAATTAATATTGTATCTACATTAATAATTACATATTAATTTTAAAATCTCATCAACATTAAAATAGCTGATTGTAATAAGTTTTTAAATATTAACGGTTAGTCTATGACTGATATCTACATGGAAAGGGACAGTAGCGCATATAAAGATGATAAAGATCTTTTCCCAGTGGTTTTGGATGATTATTTATAATTCTAGCCACCCACTCGGTGATGGTTCAATTTTTTTGGCCGACAGACGGCGCTGGTTTAGTTCACTATGGTCTCGGCTTCTATCGGTGGGGACCTCTCGCGGTTCCCCGTAAAATATCTGAAAGGGCGAGCGCATAGTGTTAAAGAGGCGTTCGAAGGACCGTTTACTTAATAATAGCAATAATATGTAAATGCGATGCGTATCAAGCCGCCATCTAAAGAATCCACCCCGCTACGGGCCTATTGTTTGCAAATCCTTCGCTTCAGCCGTGCTGCTCTCTGCTGGATTGCCATGGAGCTCTCGATATACTTATTTCCTTTTCTTTTACCACAATCGTTTTACTTATGATCTATCTTCCTTCATCTTTCCAATATCGGGTGCGCAAATAATCGAATACGCTAACATTACGAAGAAACACACCTAACGACAATCGATGAAAGATTTTATTGTTTGCATTTGTATTAAGAAACCAATGGAAAACCAATGGAAAACATATCTAAGTTAAAATACATTTAGAAAAAATCAAACTTTAAGAAAAAAATGAGAATTTTTATGATAAATTGTAATTGAAGTAGAAACTGGAAATGATAATTACAAAACTTTAAATTCAAATTGATGATTATTAATTTGAGATTTCAAAAACTTAAAATATTAAGCATATATTTAAAATCTTTGTCTATAGCGTACATGTATATTTAAATTTTTAAAGAAAAATGATATTTTTAATTCTAAAAAGATTAAAAAATAAAGAAAATTGAAATAAATTATTTATTGAAATTTTATTCCGTAACATGTAATATAATAAGTAATAATAACAATAGAAATTTCATAGAATCTATACAAAGATTTTTCTGATTGACTGTGTATGTATTCAATTTTCAAAACGTTAATACAGTTCCATAAGGACATAACAGACGTGTATTTTGGTTGTAAAGTTCGAATCAGTAAACTACTTTAAGAGGTACAATTATAATTTGATTGAATCTTGTCACGTTTAAGATTCCTCAAGTTTTGAACACTATTATAATATTCACATCGTTACATTCGAAATCGGTGTAATATTGTAATATAACGAATACTGAAACTTTTCGAAATACACCTTGAATGGATTAATGAACCGAGTGACATGGGATCTGATTGGGGCAACATTCAAATCTGTCTAGTCATTCTTATCTTCGTTTGTCGTTCTGAACGAGCATAACGCGTTATCCTGATCTTTCTTCTTTTTCTTTTTATTCTTCCTCCTTGTGTCATCTTTCTTTCCCCTTTCTTACTCATTTTTCTTACATTGTTGCTCTAGATTATCTTTCAACCACATCGTAAAAATCATCTCTCATTGTGTAACTTAATTAGTTTATATCTATATATAGTTGTGCTCTTTTTATTTTTCTTTTTTAATTTTCTAAATTTTGTTTTATGAATAATTTCATTCATTGAACGATTTTTGTTTATAAAAAATATCATATATAAGTAATTTATATTATTGTTCAAAATTTGGGATTTTAATATTCACAGTTAAATATGAAACAAAAGATAAAATAAAATATATAATGATGAAAATAAAAAAAAAAATGATTAAAAAAAAAAAAATTATCAGTAGAATAACAGATGTAGTTCATTATTTTTTATCTTCAATTAGTTTTTTAAAAATTTCTTTTATTATGTTGATTTGAATCATGAATCAACATTTTTAGTATATAATATATATGTATTTATTTATACAAATACATATGTTCAATTTTATGATATATTAATTATTTTTAAAAAATTATTTTAAAAGAAGAATTTTATTCTACCGAAAAGGAATTTTCATTAAAAAGCAGATTAATATCATTCTTAAAATATGTATTCGCGTAGTTTTATTAATTATAACTAATAAACAAAAGATCATTCTAAGTTATATTTAAAACTTCATTCAATTCAATAATCAATTCTAATATTATTTTTTTAAGATATATATATATATATATATATATATATGTATATATCAATGTTTGCAAATGTAAAAAATATATTTTGAATGCTGAGAAATAAAGAAATCACGGCTATTTGATAAATCTATTGTATATAAAATTATCCATTTTTTTCCAATTTTCCTTTAAAAAAGTTTTTCGAATATTTACAAATTCAAATCATCAATGAAACTTTTAATTCAGCTCTCAGTATGTATTTATCGATAAACATATTATAAACGTTAATAATTACGTTATTATTAACGGCTGTATAAGTTATATTTTCTGTTGTGAAGCATTATTAATATCGTCGATATAATACATATACATATTTTGAAAATATCAAAAGTATTATTGATATTTTAAGATATAAGTATTTCTTCGTGAATTGTTCGATTATAAACTATCTTTTGTCAAATTATTTTATCCGCTCTTAAATTATAAAAGACAAAAATTAAGTTTGTTATAGAAATAAATATTTTTGTTATTTAGTTTATAACAATTTTTTGCTATTATAAAAAAATTGAAATTTAATACATTAATTATATTTATTATTATTATTTAATATAAATATTAAATAATAAATCAAACATTTCA